ATTGAATATACCTCACGGTCACCTCTTGTTCGCATTCCCAGTATTTTGAACCGCCCTGTCATATTTATGATTTGTTAAAGTCCGTAGCTTTATTCTCTATTCAAGGCCTAGAAAATGCCGCGATTCAGAAGGATAATGCCAGAACTCATATTTACGGTATTGTAAGGACTTTCAGATATAGTGATTGTTTGCTGCGTTAGCCAGCACGTTTTCCTAATCTGTCACGGAAACGTCTGCTCGATGGTAGCTGAGCTCGTCACTCGGCGCAGGTCAATGCCGTCATTGAACTGTGGCATCATATTGAAGCTGCATGGCAAGCTGTACGTGTATATCTCTATTAGACTTAATTTCCAGGCGTATAGGTGATGCTATTGCTGCAAGATGTGGTTCTTCTGGGTAGCGACTTCTCAGAATCCATACATCTAAATTTATAGAAATTTTAATCTCGTTCATCTAATATATTTGTCCACTAAATGTCACTCTGTTATTTCCCTTTCTCCTCCCATTCAGCAGTGTATATAGGTCATTCCAACCTACTATGAAATATTTTCTATGAATCATGATTTGCTTAAAGTATCTTAAGAAATTCTGATAAAACCTTTAACTTTCTTTGATGAATTTTATAAATATTGTTAACACCAATTTGCAGATTTTCAGAGTAATTGACCTTGTTTACCTCTTCTAAGTGCCATTCATGTTCCCCGAGTGAATTTTCATAATAAAGGTAAATTTAAAATAAAGTAATATCGATGAAATATTCAGCACTACAGTGTACTCCGCTTATAACAAAGTCGGTTATAGCGAAATTCCGCATATAGCGAATGAAATTGTCTGCACGAAAGAAAAGAAGGGCTTAAACCATTAAAAGAACTCTGGATATTGCGAAGTCGGATATAAAGAATTTTCGCTTATAACGAAGTGATTTGCATGTATAAATTTTTATTTATCCGTTTATAACGAAGTTTTCTCATTTACCATTATAATTGACTAATATATTATGCATAATATATATCAAATTACAACGTGTGAATGACACAAATTTAATGATACACAACAAATAAGTTAATAATATACAATTTTAAAATATGCAAACATATTATAAGTATTTTTTTACATTATTTAAACAAAATTAAATTGTTTAATAAACGCTTATATTTTATTAACGTTTACCATGGCAGGAGAACGAAAACAAACAAGAAACTCACTATCTCTGTCAGTCAAGCTGCAAATCCTAAGAGAGATTGAAGTGGAGAAGAAGAAAAAGACAGATGTTGCCCAGAAACATAATATCCCACAGTCGTCGCTCAGCACCATAATAAAGAACTCTGAGAAGATCCACCAACAAGCTCTGCATGCGGGAGAAAGCAGTCGGAAAGGAGCACGTGGATCTACATATGCTGATGTTGATGAGGCTCTGCTGCAGTGGTTCAAGCAGGCAAGAAGTGCAGCGCTTCCAGTTAATGGTCCATTGCTTTCCGAAAAGGCGAAGACCCTGGCTCTTGAATTTGGATTAAAGGATTTTACTGGGAGTGGTGGATGGATCGAGCGTTGGAAGGCAAGGCATGGCATCAAGCTGCGCAACATTTGTGGAGAATCAGCTGATGTCAATCGTGAGACAATGACGAACTGGTTGACCGATGTAATGCCTAATATAATTAGTAACTATGCTTGCAAAGACATCTTCAACGCCGATGAAACCGGTCTCTTCTGGCGTCTTCTTCCTGACAAGACACTTCACTTTAAGGGAGAAACTTGCACCGGCGGAAAGGCTAGTAAGGAACGGATCACAATCCTTCTATGCTGCAATATGGATGGTTCTGAAAAGATGCAACCTTTGGTCATTGGAAAGGCGAAACAGCCGAGATGCTTCCGACGAATCAAGCACCTTCCTGTTCAGTACGAAGCAAATCAGAAGGCCTGGATGACTGGACTACTCTTCGAATCCTGGGTTCGGCACATCGACAAGAAGATGGCTGGACAACATCGACAAATTATCCTCCTGCTTGACAATTGCGGCGCTCATCCCCCAGACATGCAGGGCCTCACAAATACTCGTATAGCATTCTTGCCGCCAAATACCACTTCAATGCTGCAACCATGCGACCAAGGCATTATTCGCAATTTCAAGATGATTTATCGAACGCGTTTAATGAGGAAATATTTGACGGCATACGATGCTGGAACAGCATTAACAATCAATCTTAAGCAAGCTGTGGATATTATATCTGTAGCATGGAATGATGTGCTTTCAGCGACAATTTTCAACTGTTGGCATCATAGTGGAATTATTAAGTCCGATGTCAGTTCTCCATTGGATACACCACAGCCTGCAACACAAATGTGGGAGCAACAAAGCCTCTTCGATCGCATGAAAGAAGTTTTAAATTGGCATTTAAAATTGGCATTTTAAATGCCATGTTATCCGATGTAGAAATTGTCGAGAGCATTCTTCAAGCAAAAGAAGAAGAAGAAACGGACCAAGTTGATGAAGAAGTAGACCCAATTGTCCACATTCCGCATCCAAAAGAGGTCTTGGAGAGCATTCAAACTCTGCGATTGTTTCTTCAATGTCAGGATGAGTCCAAGTCTCTTCATAGGCATCTGTCAGACTTGGACAACATCGAAAAGAGTGTTCAGCACTTGTTACTGACTTCTAAATGTCAAAAGAAAATCACAAACTACTTCTCCAAAAACACCTGATGAGGTTGTTATTGATCTTTGTGTTGCTCTTTTGAGTTGAATAGTAAATAAAATTATTGGTACAAAACATTTTTTTTCCAACTGCGGATATAACAAAATTCGGATATAACAAAGTGATTGTCATGGATAATGCGACTTCGTTATAAGCGGAGTACACTGTATAGTGAAATATAAATATATATGGTAATTTAAAGCAACAACCCCATATTGTATATAACTTATAACAAGATTTTCATTTTGTATAATAGAAACACATCTGTAAATAATTATACGCATTATTGACATGTGTCATTATATCATCATATTGTTACGTAAAAAGAAAAATGGCGCATTCCAGAAGAGAATGTTTTAGAACTTCTAGAAAAATGTAGAAAAATCGGAGAACAACGGATTGGCCAATCAATAGCGATTGCGCAATGCTCAAGCCTGGCGGCTTTGTGATTGGCTAACCAACTATGACCGTTCTGGAAAGATCTACTCCAGTATATATAGGGATGAGGAACTCATGTAGAAGTCGAAGAACGAAGCTACGTGGTGTACTCCAAGCAAGCTGCTGTCTCAAGAGGTCGGACTGCTGCTTAACGCCGACGCCGGTGTACTTCTTGGAAGATTTTAGAAGGTTCTACGAACTTCTGTCTCCTGTTCTGCTCCTGCTTTCCCTCACCGTGCTGCAGATGGTGAGTTTGTAACTGCTGTTTTCTTTATTGTTGTTTTATTTTTGCACTCTTCTATAATTATTTTATTGATTAGGCTTAAATAAATCCTAAAGATCCTTTGTACTCACGGAAGTTATTCTTTTTCAACAAACAACGCAACAATATGTAATGTACTTTGTACAAACTGAGGATAAATAAATAAAACTCTGTAATAGATTAGTAGTTGAGCTAAAGTAAAAGGTCAAAAACGTCTAAAATCGAGCATATAGCAGTCCCAAAACAACAAGGTATAAAGATGGAAACTGCCACGGCGCCAGTGTAGAATTTCGCCAGACGATCCACGCTCTCGTTACATCTGCTGAAATGCAATATTCCCTTTCTCAGAAAAGATATAAAAGGCCTCCGTCACAGTCACTTGATAGTCACTTCACCATCATCGTGAGCCCTCGTCGGTTGTCACGAAGGTCCTCCTCATCCACCACGTAGACCAGTAAGAATTATTTTATCTCCATCTTTCGCTCCTAGCTCAACTTTTATCTGTTCACGGAACTTTCTTAGTGCAACTGTGTCTTCGTTTTTTGTGATGGACATTCCCAAGCTTTCCACTCTGCCTCGACCACGACTGCCTGTACTTTGTGAGAACTGTTAAAGGTCTTCCAAGCTGCAGAGAGGTACTGGAAAACTCCCCATCCTGACTGTTCCTCTCGGTCAATACAGTATAGCGAGAGTTGACAGGGACTCGCACCATAGTTTAAGTCGACTGGAAACCTCACCACAGTTTTAGTCGACAAGATTCTACAAGAGTCAACAGGATCTCATCACATATATATACCGATTTAGGCTTTAACTAATGCAATATAATGGTATTAATCATCCATGTACAGACCAACAAAATCTAGTTTACAAAAAATGAAGGATTTATTTTTTATAAGATCAAAAAAAAAAAAAAAAAAGACCGCATTGTTGATTCGGACCATAAAAAATAGAGAGATTCGAAGTTATCTCAAAGATGACATTTCAACCTGAAAAATATTCTGAACTTAATAGTTTTTTCACGTCCCTAAAAATATTCTAAAATATTGTCAAAATATTTCCACATATTTTCTATTGTCAATACTCAAAGTTTCTCCAAAAGGATGTTGAAAATAAAACACCTTTTGGTGGAAATATACTTATTACATAAAAATATATGCTGACGAGCTAGCGAATTTATGAATATATAATATGGAAAAAATAGGTTTAAACATTATATATATATATATATAATAATTTTTTGTGTTCAGTTTTAGCTTGCTTTAAATTGTAATTATATTAATTATCATAATTTTTTAAAGTGATCTTTTAATAACTTTCAAATCAGTAATCAAATGCTTATACTTTTTAGCAATATATACATGTATGAAATTTCAAAAAATATTTTATATTATAGAACGACATTTGAAAATATCCCGCATGTGTTTCTTTTGAACGAAAAATCGAAATTTATTTTAAGGAGAAATAACGATTATTTCTAAACTTAGGGATGAAGTATGAAAGGATGAATTGTGAAGAGTAATGATAAACGGAAAATGTCGTTCTACAATCATAGGCCGCATTATATTGTATAAAATCACAATATATAATATTTACGAACGGAAAAATATGTCCAGGGTAGCTTAGTGGACATGGCATCTGCCCGGTAAGCGGAACACTGTGGGTTCGATTCCCATCCCTGGACACTTTTATTTTTCCGTTTATCATTACTCTTCACAATTCATCCTTTCATACTTCATCCCTAAGGTTAGAAATAATCGTTATTTCTCCTTAACATAAATTTCGATTTTTCGTTCAAAAGAAACACATGCGGGATGTCTTCAAATGTCGTTCTACAATCATAGGCCGCATTATCTATATATATACAAAAGAAAGTCGTGAAAAATGTTAGACTATTTATAACTCAAGAACGGCTGAGCCTATTGGGATGAAAATTGGTGGGAAGGTAGCTTGGAACCAGCAGACGAACATAGCATACTTTTTATCCCGTTCGATTGCGTCAAGAACGGCTGAAATGTCAAATACATTCATTTATACAGATGTATCAGAAACGCATGCGCACAGAGCGCGCACTCTACGAGGCTTACCCACGAGCTTACGGGTTGAATGCCAAAAAATAAAGTTTAATTTATGTTATAAATATTTCTTCTTTTTGTAAATAAATACATTGTGTATTATTGTTTAAAATATCAGCTTTAAATATATCATAAGAAAACATCTTATTAAAAATTTAATAAATGTTTTTAAAAATATTGTTTCAAAAATATATTTAAACGTTAATAAACATTGTTATATACGTTTATAAATCTATATATAGGTTTTCAACTTTTAAATAGGCATTTCAATTTTTTTTTCATTTTAATTTCGACACTTTCATTTTAATTTAGACACATGGACATTTCTTTATATTCTTTATTCAAGAGCACTTTGAAACAACTAAAAAATATCGAATAGAGTTTTTATTATACGAAAGAATCGCTTGAAATGGAAATAGCGATGTTTGACATAATTTTTATATCAGGCGAATTATTAACCCCTAATTCAACGCGCCCGTTTTAGGACGTAGGTACTCGCGCCGAGCTTTCCGAGCTCGAACTTTATGATGATAAAAATGATAAAATTATTTTAAAAAAAATAAAAATTATATTCTACCTTAGTAGATAGACAATAAGGATTAAATTGATATCAAAGTTTAAATTTTAATTCTCATAATTACCAAGTCATGCATAAAAATATAAAAACGTGAAAAAGCAGATTTGAGCAGGCTTGGGCAATTTTTTTATATCTAATAAATCGCCAATATTCACTGGCAATTTTGGCAAATTTGGTTTGAATGCTCTTTAAAATGTTCTTATTGCATTTACAGGAAATCATTGTTGACATGCAGTTCTTGGAGCAAGGGCAAATATAGCACCGCTTTACCAGCCATTTTCAGAGAAAAAAAGAGCTCTAAAATTAAACCTATATATTAATAATTCAATATATTATAAATTAAAAAATTAAATATCGATAAATAATTTAAAAAGAAGTCTTAAAGGATTCCACAAAAACTTACCAGTGACGAGAGAGAGGCCAGGCAGCAAAGTGAAACCGTAACCAAAAGTGTTACGTCAGCACTCGCGACGCGCTTTTGAAGCACGCCGACAATTTTTTTTTCACACTCTCCATGCTGAGGAGGTGCCATTGAAATTCAAATATCGTTTAAAATGTCGATCTGCTGAATAAGTACAGCTATGAAAATTATCTTTTTTTTGTATTTTTAAAATTCTCATCTTTTTTTTCACTTAGTTTCATCTGATTTTAGGTGAATTAAGTCAATAGATGACTTTTTCAGAGTTATTTTAAACTCTTTTATTTTGCATTGTAAATTGTTGTTTGCGACCCTTCTAAATTTAAAATATTTTTCAATTCGTCTCTTAATTTTCTAAAAAGTTAAACTTGAATTATTCTTTATATACTTTTCAAAGTAAAATCTACATCGCTTAATGACTTTTTTTCTGACTAAATCCTCCTTTCTTTCTTAATTTTTTAATTAGCCTTCTATCTTTATAATTTTAATTAGCAGAATTATAATTGATTTTAATACCTTATAAAGAAGCTTTTGCATAGTTTCGTCCTGTAAGCACACCAACTTGATAAAAGTTTCCTGTTTTCCCTTTGATATTGCTTGATACGGACCTCTATTCATTTTTGAATTAGTAGAAATCAGATGATAACCATAGGTCATAGCCATTCAAAAGTTGGTTTAGGTCGTCAATCCTTTGTGAACAAATGGAAATCTCCACGTCGGCGCTTTCTTCGCAAATTGCTTAAATGATATCTCGTGTCGTTTTTTAAAAATAAATTATAAATTATTTTAATAAATAAATTATGTAGAGTTTTCCAGTACCTCTCTGCACCTTGGAAGACCTTTAAAAGTTCTCACAAAATACAGGCAGTCGTGGTCGAGGCAGAGTGGAAAGCTGGGGATATCCATACACAAAAAACGAAGACACAGTTGCACTAAGAAAGTTTCGTTAACAGATAAAAGCTGAGCTAGTAGCGCAAGATGGAGATAGACGAGTTCTTCCTAACTACATGTTGGATGAGATCGACATAACATACGACCGACGCGGCTTGCACTAAGGGTGAACTAAAACTGAACTGAACTGAACTGTCAAGCCACTGTAAGGTGATGTATTTATAGGTTAAAGACGGGGCGACCTTATGTGACAGGGGCGTTTCTGAGAAAGGGGGGCCTTGGCATGTCCAGGTGTGAGAGGGGTCTCTGCATTCCACCACATGTGACAGTGTGGGTGGCCTTGTTTGTGGGAATTGTAAATCGACCTGATTTATGACTTCCATCTTTAGACTTTGTTGTTTTGGCAATACTATGCTCGATCTCTGCTTTAGCTCAACTCTTAAATCTATTTGAGATTTTATTTATTTATCCACTTTGTACAAATTACATTACATATGGCGATGCAATGACACAGATTAATCATGCGCATAATTATTTATAGATGTGTTTCTATATACAACATGACAATCTTATTATAAGTTATATACACAGTATGGGGTTGTTGGTTTAAATTACCATATATATATGTAATATCGTTGCGGGGTTTCTTGTTGTTGGATGCGAATGGTGAGATTTGGTTGAAGCGCAGCCGTTTGAGTGGAAGTTGCAGCATACAGTTAGGAATAATCAGGACACGTGATTGAGTTCGAAAATAAAAGGCAACTGGGTTGGAGGGAAGAAAGCTTGAGAAGAGTTGAGCGATTTGACTTATTAATTAGTTGATCACATGGCGATGATGGGATTTAGATGAAATGAGCGGAGAGAGAGAGATCTCTAGAGTAGATGTTACCTTGTTGGAAGCGAAGGAGCAACTGTCCGAACTCGGCGAGAGCCACTGAACAACTGTAGGTGTTGTTCCTATGAGAGCGAAAACGTAACTGCCCATTCTTGCTTTCCGATTTAACACCAAGACTCAGTTTCTCTCTGATTGGTTGAGAGATGATCACATGATCTTTCCCTATTGGTTGACCTATTTAGATGCTATCTTCTGATTGGCCGGCGGCTTCCTTTGGTGTTAGTTACGCCCGGCCTGGGTCAGGAAGTGTCGTGTTTGTTCGACTCTATTTACTTCCGCGGCTATCAAAATACGTCCGGTTCTGTCAGGAAGCATTGGGTGTCTCTCGATTAATATAACTTCTGCGGATACTAGATACGTCCTGTTTTTCCAGGAAGTGTTGGTTTAAACTTAGCTCGCAGGGACCCGAGGTCAGAAGGTTAACTGCGACGTTATTAATAAATATGTTCTCCTCTAGATTTGCTTCCTATGTCTTTTGTTACTTTCTTTCCTCCAGTTACCTTATTCTTTTATTAAATCTTTGAAAATCATACATGGTACATACATAGTGGGTCGGGGTTGCATTTAATTATATACAAATTATGACAGATGCGCCCCCTACATGTGAAGAATTCAAGAAGGGGTTAGCCTGAGAGAATTCTGTAAAGTGAAAAATAATTTTGTGGGAAAATTAGTTGTGGGTATTGAGGGGCTATATACAAGCATTGCTGGTGACATAAAAGTAAGTTAGAATGGTGTTGATGATATAGGTTGAGTATAATTAATAGAAATCAAAAATTTTTAATTGTAAGAAATCAATGAATGCTATGGTACATAGTGGGCAAAAAAAAAGGAAAATGCGTCTAAACGAATTCTACTCGAGTTAAGAAATGAATTCGAGGGAGTTCTATTAAGGCTTTTGAAATCAAAATAAAATAAAATAAAAGTTTTTTGAGCGAAATCAAAGTTGAGTGCTTGGTTGAATGGTGAAAAAAAAAAGGAAAAATGCCTAACCATATTCTATTCGAGATTGGGAATGAAATCGAAGGAATTCTATTAGGTCTTTTGAGAAATCAAAAATAAAAATAAAATAAAAGTTTTTTGAGCGAAATCAAAGTTGAGTGCTTGGTTGAGTGGTGAGAAAAAAAAAGAAAGGAAAAATGCCTAACCATTATTCTAGCTCGAGATTGGGAATGGAAACCGAGGGAATTTTATTAGGGCTTGTGAGAAATCAAAATAAAAATAAAAATAAAATTTCATAAGGTATTTTGAAATCAAATAAAAATAAAAGTGGTTGAGCGAAATCAAAGTTGAGTGTTTGGAAAAAAAAAGAAAAATGAACAATAAAAAGGTTTCAACAACAAAGGGTGATTTAATGTTTTTAGTTTAATCGAAAACCAATGAGTTTTCGTTGATAATTGAGTTGTGGCAGTTTAAGCTAAGTGGTAAATAGAATGATAATTGATAAATAAAAATGATAATATAAACTAATTGGAAAAAAATGATAATTAATGATTAAAATTGATAATAAGTTGGATAAATTGATAAATTGATTAAATATTTACATTTTTAATTGAGAGAAAATAATGAAAATGATTGATATGAAAAATAAGGTGTATTGGTTGGAACCCTTTGGTATCTACATGCCCTGATCTACATGTATTGGTTGCTCCATTTTGCCCTCTAAATGTTTTACTTGCTCAATTATGCCCTATAAATTTTTTGTCTCATCTGTAGCGACACTTAGGTGAAAAACGTGATTCTATCCCTCAAGTGCGTTTATGTTGTGTGTACAGGAGACATGGAAATCTATATAACCTTTATGTGTAATTTTTTGTCTTTGTGTGTG